TGGTCTGTGTTCATAGACAGCCTAGGTGCAAAACACTTGCCCAGTATGTCTTATCACCCCCAAACTGATGGGCAGACAGAATGAGTAAATCAGGTCATGGAGCAGTACCTTTGGATGTACTGCAACTATGAGCAGGATGATTGGTCTAGCTTAATTCATATGGTGGCATTTGTGTACAACAACACTGTGCATGCTAGTATTGGCATATCCCCATTTTTTGCTTGCTATGGTTGGAATCCCAAATCGCATCTGGAGATACCTGGAAAACTTGGGGCAAATGACCCAAAGCTTGCCAAATACTTCATGAACAATACAGAGCAAATTAAGTATCTTCAAGATCATATCAGACAAGCTCAGAGTTGGGTGGTCAACCAATACAACCACAAATGGAAAGATATTGAATTCAAAGTGGGTGACTTAGTGTATATCAATCGAAGGAACTGGAAGATGAGATGACCAACCCCAAAGTTGGACACAAGGTTTGCAGGCCCATACCCGATCAAAGAAAGGATTGGTAGAAGGGCATATCAAATCAGTCTACCAGTAAACCTCCAAGTCCATGATGTTTTTCATGTATCAATGTTGGAGCTGGCCAGGATGAGCACACTTCCACATTGCTTGCAGATTCCAGTAGAGCCACTGTTACCAGAAGAGGACCTCGAATTCGAGGTCAAGGCCTTACTGGACAAATGAGTTTGGAATCACAAGATAGAATACAGGGTACTCTGGTGAGGGTACCCAGAAGAAGCTGCATCATGGGAGGTGATCGACCTTCTCAATTGCCCAACCCTCATCCAGGAGTATGAGGAATCAGCAGGGGGACGACAACTATAAAAGTTTCAAAAAGAAAGCAACACAAATGGAGAAGAGCAAAACATATCGATGGAAGGCAAAATTCTGTTCAAATTTCGTAGCATCTCATGCAAGTCGACAAAAAAGACACAGTCTTTTAGAGAAAAGAGGAGCAAAAGAAAATTGAATTGAAAGGAGGATACAAATGCATCATTACATGTCATGATCACGAACAGGAATGAGAGGAGGATGAACCCAGCATCCACGAAAGTGGAAATCAGGATTCTCACCAGGAACCATGTCAGACTCATGAGGTCAATGCTCTGAGCACAACTTATCATGACAATCGAGGTACAAGAAAAGAATCCAAATGATTGGGAACACCATCACTTGGTTAGGCAAGCACCAGAGAACACCAATGGCAAATATCCATTTGTCAGACATGTTGGGGTCAGTCACTCGATCATTGGCACAAACAAATCCTGGACCATAACCATTGGTCACAGTCAGATGTGCATGCTCTGCCAGGTGAGCACCCTGAGGCTGCCTATGGGGGGGACCATCACCAAGGTACTCCATGTCTGGAGAAATGGGAATCATCTGTTTGCAATGTGCCAAGTTGCCAAGGTGGCAATGAGTGCAGGTGCAAGGAACATGACTGTAAGGGATGAAGGGGTTGACAAATGCAGAAGGAAAACAACTAAAAAAGAGAGGAGGTTAGCAACAGTAGGAAGAAAGAGAATGGTGCACAAAGATTACTTATGGAAGACTAAGACTAGCACACCGGGTGCATTGCCAGCTAGGCCAGGGCATACAACCCTCAGTCATTTGAAGCATGGCCAGGCAGTGCAGCTGCCGTTCAGTTGAAGAACCTCTACCTACCTCCCACTCTGGAGGATAGTCCCCAGTAGCGATTTTTACCACCAGCCTAGACACCACCAATCCTTCAGACCAACCAGCTATCTCACTGTTGGATGGTACATGACGTTCAGGGGAAGGAGGGGCACATGCCAAATCTACTTCCACAGCATCATGATGGTTGGAGGAGGAAGTTGCAGGGTGTTCCAAGTCAAGGAATGAAGGATCGGGTCTGTACATGTGCCCAAGGGAGGAGCAGAGGGAAAGCAAGGAAGCAGTTGGGCTTGGGAAGGCCAAGTCGTCAGGAAGGGAAGACGAGGGCAACGGGGGAGTCTGGATAGAAGAAGTCGGATGTCATGGGCCTGAATGCTCAAGAAGCAGGAGGGTCACTGGTTCATATGGAAGGAGCACAGGTATCGAAGATCTAGTCGATACCATTAGAGAGCATGGTCATAGTGCAGCCTCCATGGAGACCATGGACTCCTACAGACTCACATGCAAAGGAGGACCGAGCCATATGTGAGGAGGGCCAGGCACAGCCATGAGGAGGACCAAGCTCAAGGAGCAGGCACAGCCACGAAGAGGACCAAGCTCAGATGGTTACCACTCAGGGGCTTGAGAGACAAGTGTCGAAGGAGTCGACACCAGGTCATGAGGAGGAGGAGCAGTGTTGAAGGAGTCGACACAGCTCAAGAGGCACAGGGGTGCCAAGCAGGAGAGGCCCCTGAGCAGTACTCGATGAAGAAGGTACTCTCTGGAGAGAGAGCAGGAGCAGCATTGCTGGCGATGCTGAGAAGAGGTATATAACCATGCTTTCTCATCATCATAGGTCGAGTGGATCCTCATCCACTCTACTCACCATAACTAGTTATCACTTCAGCATAAGTATATATTAGTTTCAGTCAGCATAGCAGCAATCTATCAAGATTGCTCCTCATCGTAGTGTGTGTGTTGTATCACCACTACCTGACGTCCGAAGGCACCCATAGCAGGTTAGTGGTCTGGATCAAGATAGAACCGAAGGCAGTAGTCCACTGCAGTCCAGGGATCACTTCAAGCATCAAGTCAACACACTGGACACTCATGTTGACACCACCAACCTTATCACCAACACCATCAACCTCATTATCATCAACACCCACCAACCTTATCACCAACATCATCAACCTCATCATCATCAACACTCACACCAGACCTTGGTGTCATCATAGCATTGATATTGATCGTGCCGAGCTACCCCTGAATGGAGTGTCCACAGAGGTCAGCCGAAACCTACCATAGTATATACAATGAACACCACCTGCTGTCACTGCGCAACTTGATAGTCACTGATACCGAGACAATAGCTGTTGCACAGTTTGATAGTCACCGAGTATCTCGACAGACCGACCTGGGTTTCAGGCGCGAGACCCCTGACAAGAGGTTTCACAAGATAAAGTCGAGAGGGAGCTGTGTCGAAAGGGGGCATTGCACATCAGGCAGAAGGAGAGCATGAAGGCGAGAGGGCAGTGTTGCATAACCCATATGCTGTGCAAATGGTAGGAGCACAGTATAGAAGGGATTGGTGCCAGCAGGACAAGACAGTGCCTAACAGGGGACAAGGCCCCTCAAGAGGAGCAGGATAGGTGTTGAGGGAAAACACCAACCAGACACATAAATACTCTCATTCTACCACAAGCATATGAGTGGAGGGGCATCCACTCTGACTTACTTACTATATACTTTACTTACTTGGTTATGTATCATTGCAATAGCAGTGCTCTTGCAACAACTCTCAATGTGTGTGTTGTATCACTGTTAGTTGACAACTGTAGGTGGTGTTCTTCACACCAGCAGTCCAGTTCATTACTGAAGGCGGTGTTGCTCGACACCAGCAGTCCAGTTGGTTATTGTAGGCAGTGATTCACACCAGCAGTCCAGTAACTCCCATCCTCTGTAGGCAATTGGCATATCACAGTCCAGATGATGTCCAAGAGCATTAACAACAGTACTATGAACACTTGTACTGTAAGGGAGGGTGTATCACCCTCTCACCAACAAACAATGTTCGTGCTGCACAACCTCTGAATGGAGTGTTCAAGGCAGTCAGTCGATATTTACTAGGCAGCAATGCTTGGTTACATTTAGGTGAAACATATCGAGTAGACCTTACTCAATCAACCTCAGTTAGTCTCTGGCGCATGATCGCTTACACCCTGCTTCATCCAGTGGTGTTCTTCCTTTGTACAGTATCCTCCCCTTGTCCTATCAGCGATGGGGTGCCTTTCTTGACTGATTCCTGTGAGATCTGTCATACTTGGCATGATATTATGATTCTTGCTGAACTCTGTAGTAATGACTGTGTTCCTACAGATCCTGCCAAGTTATGCCATAGGACCATTTCTACTACTGATTTCAGTGAACTCTTCCTTAAGCTCTCGGTTAGCCTGATCCTGTGATTTCTGCACTCCTTCATATGACTTCAACTTCTTCCTGCCTCTTGCACATCTGGCTCCTATGACATGCGATACCTGACAGTGAATGTGCTTGCACCAACACGAGCATCCAGTGTGTTGACTGATTGACTGATGATCCCCAGACTGCAGTGGATGACTGCCTTTGGTTCTAATGATCAAGAGAGCCAGACTGCAGTGTGAACTGCCTTTGGTGTCAATTGATCTCCAGACTGCAGAATGGACTGCCTTTGGATGGCCTCAAGCAGTGATACAACACATGTGCTAAGTAGATGCAATGCCCTGCAATTGCAACTGTTGATGGAAACTACCAAGTATACTTATGATGAAGTTATAGCTAGTAATGTAAGGTGTAGAATGGATGGGGATCCACTCAACGGCTATGACGAGGAGCATGGTTATATAGGCATCTTCACAAAGTTGCCTGCAACAGATCCTCCTGCACATCTGGTCCTATGACAGAGCAGCAGGAGTAGTGTCACAGACAACACCCTCCAAACACATATATACTCTCACTTGAGCATAGCATATGAGTGGAACCTCATCCACTCTACACTTTACTTGACTCTTAGGTTGTGCTGATATGGAAGGCTGCATGTTATAGCATTGCCAAACTAGTTCTTCAGATGTGCAAGATAGCCTCTGAATGGAGTGTTTAAGGTGGTCAGTGGAAAGCTATCAGGAACAAGCCTACTGGTTCCTTTCACTGATCAACTTGGTTACACAGTTACAATGCACATATAGCCTGTCCATGTAAGAGAGAGAGGGAGAGTGGAGGATGGCTGGTGGTGTTAATCATGCTTAGTCAGCAGGGCTTGCGACGATCTTGCTCATCGACAATCTTGCTCATCATCAAGGTCCACCTTGCTCACCCTCCAGCAACACTGTCTGCCCAAGATGGCCACCGAATACAAAGACGAGTCTTTGCACCGCTGTCCCTACTCGCAAAAGGCCAAGGCATTGTTGGATTCGCTGCAGGCAGTGGATACGGTCTACCAGGTCGATCTGCGAGCAGATGGGCACAATCTACAGACGGCACTTGCGAGGCTGACGGGACATGCTACTTTCCCGACCATCTTGGCAAGGGATAAGGTGCTGGGTGGCAACGACGATCTGCACCGCTATCACCGCACTGGAGCGCTGGAGGGCGTCTTGCATTCTGTGCGGGCTGTGTAGACATCCGCCACGATGCGTTTGCCTTTGTACTCTACTCTCACAGCGCCTCGATGATGATATGAAGGAGCAACATGGCCTGGGTCGAGCGTGGGAATGGGCAGTGATCGCCTGCTGGAAAAGAGTTGCCTGAAGAAAGCGAATGGCGCCGCTCTTTCTCCTTCTTCTTTTACCACCACCACCACCACGACGGGCCCAGAAATGAGGACCAAAGCAGAACCGCTGTTCAAGAAGCGAGGGCGATGCAAGCCGACACGCATCTCTGCCTCTACCTGCCATGCTACGCTTGCGGACACGAACGAGGACTGCGACGAGCGGCTATCCGTGCAAGAGCTAGCTGCCCTCCGCGCTCTCACCCGCAAACCAGCTGGCATCCAGCTCGACCGGCTCAACAACGGCGAGCGCAAGCCCAACGTCTCTCGACACAAGGCAGCATCCCAGACGCAGATGCAGATGCAGCGCCGCGACTGGATGGCGGATGCTTTCCAGCACGAAACAGGCACCGTGGATGTCGACGGGCATATGTAAGTGCTCCTCACCTCTTGCTTCTCCTCTTGCTTGCTACTCACCGACATGCGTTGCTTTGCTATCACCAGGATGGCGTATATCGAGCAAGAACTGCGGCAACGAACCAACGCCTCGGCACCACAGCCACACGACGACTCCTCCTCCTCCTCCTCCTCCTCCTCCTCCTGCTCAGCCTCGACACAGCAACCGCTGGCGCCACCACCGAAGCAGGAAGAAACCAACGCCTTGCTCTCCACCGCAATGCTGACACGCATCCCCGAAGTCGACCTAGGCATCCAAGCAAAGCTGGACAACATCGCCGACACCGAACTAGCCAAACGCTCTCAGCCTCTCCATTCCACCAAGCACTGCGCCACAGACCAGTGCCTACTGGACCGCTTCAAGAAGCGACAACGAAGGCATGGCTAACGGCACAGCCTCGTCCAGTAAACTGCCTCGCAGCTTTTCATTACCAGTGCCTAGTCCTGCTATCATCCAATCTACGTCCATCCAGTCTTCCCAATCATGTGCCAGTCGATTACAGGAGCAAGAGATCGACAGTCTCTTCCCCAAACTGTCTGTGCTTGTCTGGCTGAAACTGCAAACCTGCTGGGAAAGTTGGTTCTCATGGAAACCTCTCAAGGCTAGCACAGCACACTTGCAATCCTAGGCAACTTGCTAAGACTACACTAGCATATAGCTTCATGACCTCTCTCTTGACATGAGTGTTTGCAATCTTGACAGCCATTCATAGCAAGAGTCATTGTCTTGACTGCAGTAGGCAACTGCCAACAGACAGCATCAAGCAGCAGTGATACAACACCAACACACTCAGAGTAGAAGCAATCTCCTGCAATTGCAACTATTGGCAAGATAACTAAGGATACATACACTAAAGATATAGTTAGTCAAGTGTAGAGTGGATGAGTTTCCACTCAACTATGAGGACAAAGTGAAGATTGTGCAGTTAGATAGACATTTGCAGTGCTGCCTGCAACACTGCTCCAGCTCCTTCTAAGAGGAGTATAGCCTCTGCGCTCTGTTCATACTCTTGTCCTCAGGTGAGAACAAGCACAACTTCATCACTACTTAGGCATCTCCCCCACTTCATCCAAGTGGTGAAATTCCTGTCATCTTACCCCTTCTTGTGATCTCGGCTCATCGTTAGCAATGGCAATGAGCCTCCTGTTACTGCCCCTTCCATCTTATGTTTCTGCTTGAGTCCTGCCAAGTCGATAGCCTCTTTTTGTGGTGTGGCTTTGTGAAATCAGTTGGACAGGCCCTTTCTGGTCAGTTTCACTGAGAAACCCTTTGTCAGAGGTCATGCACCTGAAACCTGATATCTGTAGTAGAAACACATCTATTACAGATCTTGTCAAGATATGTGGTAAAATGCTGTGTATTACTATTCTTGTCAGGAACTGTTGTAGAAGGCCACTATGACTTTTCTCACCCAAATATGTGATAGGTTCATTGCTATTGCAGGTTTTGACCAACCTCTGTGGACACTCTGTCCAGAGGTAGCTCAGCATGATCAATAATGATAGCTGTATTGCAATGACACCAAGGTCTGGTGTGAGTAATGCTGTTGGCGCCAACATGAGTGTCCAGTGTGTCAGCTGAGTGCTTGAGGTGATCTCCAGACTGCAGTGAACAACTGTCTTTGGTTCTATGATTGAGAGAGCCAGATGTCAGGGGTCTCGCGCCTGAAACCCAGGTCGGTCTGTCGAGATACTCGGTGACTATCAAACTGTGCGACAGCTATTGTCTCAGTATCGGTGACTATCAAGTTGTGCAGTGACAGCAGGTGGCGTTTGTTGTATATACTATCGTAGGTTTCGGCTGACCTCTGTGGACACTCCATTCAGGGGTAGCTCGGCACGATCAATATCAATGTTATGATGACACCAAGGTCTGGTGTGAGTGTTGATGATGATGAGGTTGATGACGTTGGTGATAAGGTTGGTGGGTGTTGATGATAATGAGGTTGATGGTGTTGGTGATAAGGTTGGTGGCGTCAACATGAGTGTCCAGTGTGTTGACTTGATGCTTGAAGTGATCCCTGGACCGCAGTGGACTACTGCCTTCGGTTCTATCTATATCTGGACCACTAACCTGCTATGGGGCGCCTACAGACATCAGGTAGTGGTGATACAACACACACACTACAATGAGGAGCAATCTTGATAGATTGCTGCTATGCTGACTGAAACTAATATATACTTATGCTGAAGTGATAACTAGTTATGGTGAGTAGAGTGGATGAGGATCCACTCAACCTATGATGATGAGAAAGCATGGTTATATACCTCTTCACAGCATCACCAGCGATGCTGCTCCTGCTCTCTCTCCAGAGAGTACCTTCTTCATCGAGTACTGCTCAGGGGCCTCTCCTGCTTGGCGCCCCTGTGCCTCTTGAGTGGTGGCGACTCCTTTGACACTGCTCCTCCTCCTCATGACCTGGTGTCGACTCCCTCGACATTGCTCCTCTTCCTCATGACCTGCTTGCCAGTGTCCTATGACTCTTGTCTCTCGAGCCCCTGAGTGGTAACCATCTGAGCTTGGTCCTCTTCATGGCTGTGCCTGCTCCTTGAGCTTGGTCCTCCTCGTGGCTGTGCCTGGCCCTCCTCACATGTGGCTCGGTTCTCCTTTGCATGTGAGTCCATAGGAGTCCATGGTCTCCATGGAGACTGCACTACGACCATGCTCTCTACTGGTATCGACTAGATCTTCGATACCTGTGCTCCTTCCATATGAACCAGTGACCCTCCTGCTTCTTGAGCATCCAGGCCCATGACAGGGATGAATCCATGATAGGAGATCCACAAACTCCTACCCCGGTTTCACAACCAAGACGATCAGTCTCATTTGCTGACTTCGATGAGCAGTCCAACATCAACTACAAGAAGTACACCTCCCCCACCAGGCCAAGATACATCAAGCCCAGGGTGGACCCATACAGCAGGCCCAGGATAGATCCTTATGGCCTGGATTAAGAGGAGGATGCTAGCATAATGGGAGAACTAACATGATCAAAGCCAATCGCCACACCATTCCCAAAGTTCAATCCCAGAGATGTTGAGATCTTCATCCTTGAAGCCAAAGCTTGGTTCAAGTTCAACCAGGTTTATGAGCAGTCAAGGATGATCAATCACATGGGTGCTCAATTGGAAGGGAATGCACATGAATGGTGGACATCAAAGCTTCACAATGATAGAGCTCGAGAAGGGAGACTGTTCAATGACTGGCACTACTTCACAGAGCATCTGTCAGAACAGTTCAATCCCTGGAATGCTAGGATGGAGGCCTACAACAAACTGTTGGCTCTCCAACTCATGAGTGATGCACCTGGTGCTGCCACACATCACGTTGAGCAATTCAGAGACTTGGAGGGACAGGTCAATCTAGATGACAATGAGCTAGTGATTGATCTATTCTGAGGTAGTCTCACATGTAGTCTACAAGAGAAGTTCGAGCAGAACCAACCCATGAAAAGGTGGGAATGGTATCAAGAGGTCGAAGAGATTGGCTGGCAGAGGATGCTGCTACAGCAGTCCTCTGCTAGGCACCCAAGTGCTACTCCATCATGACCAAACCCAGGAACCTGGTCTATGCCACCAGCTCAAGGTTTATTCCCTGCTTGGCAACTGGCACAAACTCACCCAGCTTGACTGCCAGCACAAACAACTATGGGAAACCTTAACTGGCCAACCAATCGCCTCCTGCCCCATCAGTTCATTGAGGGCCCAAAGCAAGGAAGCCCTGCAACATCAAGCAGCAACACTTGCCATTTGCGCAAGGGCATCAGTCATTGGGCCAGAGACTGTCCAAGCCAGAAGGTAGACTCTCTGGGCCCACGACCCATGGGTCTGAAGGAGTACCAGCCTCCCATGGACACTGACCATGAAGAGGCCCAAGACGATGTCAACGAGGGAAATGACAGTGGGGCAATGCACTGATGGTGTGCATGGCTCTACAAACCTCCTCACCATTGCTATGTATATATCAAGATTGTCAAGTATGTTTCTCTACCAGCAGAGGAAAAGCAGTATTAGAGCTCTCCAGGATGGTTCAAGACCACCCGGCTCATATACTCGCCGACACTGGCACTTAGGGTTCTAAGGGCGTCCGGCCGTGGGGCAGACGCGTCTTGCCCTCCTGGAAGATGGTCCACTTCAAAATTCAAGATGGTCCAATACAAAATTCAAGATGGTCCATTTCAATTTTGAAGACAGTCTATTTCAAAATTCAAGACGGTCCATTACAAAATTCAAGACAGTCCAATACAAAGTTAGAGCGCAATCAAGAGGAGTGCAATTGACAGGAGTGCAATCGAGAGGAGCACAATCGAGAGCAGAGCAAGAGAGAGGAGCGCAATCGAGAGCAGAGCAATCGACAGGAGCTCCATCAAGAGCAGAGCAAGAGACAGGAGCGCAATCGACAGGAGCACAATCGAAAGGAGCGCAATCGAGCACAGAGCAATCGAGAGGAGCGCAATCGCGAGCAGAGCAATCGAGAGGAGCGCAATCGACAGCAGCGCAATCGACAGGACCGCTCATTCTGCTGGAGCAGCACAATCCGGAGCAGCACAATCGACAGGAGTGCAATCGACAGGAGTGCAATCAAGAAGAGTGCAATTCAGAGGAGTGAAATCGAGAGGAGCTCAATCGAGAGCCGAGCAAGAGAGAGGAGCTCACTCGACAGGAGCGCAATCAACAGGAGCACAATCGACAGTAGCGCTCACTCTGCTGGAGCAGCACAATCGACATGAGCGCAATTGACAGGAGCGCAATCGAGAGCAGAACAAGAGAGAGGAGCGCAATTGACAGGAGCGCAATTGAGAGTGGAACAATCAACAGGAGCGCAATTAAGAGGAGCGCAATCGACAGCAGAGCAAGAGAAAGGAGTGCAAGAGAGAGCAGAGCGAGAGAGAGGAGCGCAATTGAGAGGAGTGCAATCGAGAGCAGAGCAATCTTGAGGAGCGCAATCGAGAGCAGCGCAATCGAGAGGAGCTCCATCAAGAGCAGAGCAATCGACAGGAGCGCAATCGACAGGAGCGCAATCAAGAGAAGAGCAATCGACAGGATCACAAGGAGTGCAATCGACAGGAGCTCTATCGACAGGAGCTCAATCGACAGGAGCTCAATCGAGAGAAGAGCAGCAGAGAGGAGCGCTCAGCCGGGTTAATTATTGTGGTCTAACATTCGCCAAAATTCAACATGTCGAGCGAATAGCTTTAACACACAGAAAAACCACGGGTGTGGAGCGAATAGCTTTAACACACAGAAAAAACACGGGTGTGGAGCGAATAGCTGTGACAGACAGAAAAACACAGGTGTCACATGCGTAGGTCTAACATATCGAAAAATACATATCAAAAAGACATGTCGTAAGTGGAGTACTAACACGTGGAAAAATACGTGTCGAAAAGGTATTTTCGACTTGTTTTTTTCAAGTTTATTTTTTGACGTGTATTTTTGCGACCTTACAAGGGTGTTCCCAGCGAGACCCTTGGAAACATGATATCTGTACTAATGAGATATGTAGGGATACCCCAGGACTATGTGTATGCAAAGTCTCATGGTACCCTAGCCCTAGCCCTAGCCGGTGTGTCTTGCTTGCAGGCAATGCACAATTGCGCTCTGCCAAAATCGAAATTCACGCAACTGCGTTGACCCCCAATGCACTCGAAATTTACACTGCTCAAGTGCTGCAATGCAAACAAATTTATTTTCGCTGGAGCAGCGCAAATTGAGCAACGCACAGCTGGAGCAACGCACTCACAGCTGGAGCAATGCACTCACAGCTGGAGCAATGCACACTCTGCTGGAGCAGCGCAATTTGAGCAACGCACAGCTCAAGAGCAATGCAGAGCTCCAGGACAACTCTTGCACTTACACCCCACAACTACTCAGCCTTACTTACAAGGGTGTTCCCAGCGAGACCCTTGGAAACATGAAATCTGTACTAATGAGATATGTAGGGATACCCTAGGACTATGTGTATGCAAAGTCTCATGGTACCCTGTTCTGTGGTGGCTGAGATATGGGCCATCAAAGTTTGGTCACTAGGTTTGAACTTTGGTGAACCTAGGTAAACTTCAATGAAGCTGGGTAAACTTCAATGAACTGAGGTAAACTTCAATGAACCTAGGAAAACTTCAATGAACCTAGGTTAACATGAATGAACCTAGGTAAATGTTGATGAAGCCAGGCAAATGTTGGTGAACCTAGGTAAACTTTGATGTAGCTAGGCAAACTTAGGGTTACAAGGGGCTGCCTGGTAGGGATGACTTTCAACATGTGTCGACCCATTAATGAAAGTTGTTCATTTGGGCGCTAGGAACAATAATGTTGCTGATCCCTGCTTGAGTTTTTCAGTGGGTTGTGGAGATATTGCATGTTGAAGTTGGGAGCAGGACAAGTCAGGACCTTGAAATATTGATATTTCTGGCATGCACCCATAATGAAAGTTGTTGCTCTATGCACCCATAAGCGTGTCCTAAACTCTCATGACAATCGACCAACCCATTGTTGAGCTGTGGTGGACTTTGTGTTTTTGAAATTTTGGCCAAAGCTGCAAGGGTCCCCCCTTGGAGCTTCGAGATCTGGACCTCGATTTTGAGCCAACATTTTTGCACAAGTCTGGAGATATGTGAGATCTATTCCGATCTAACATTTCGAACATGTAATTATGTTATGTAATCACAATTGCGATCTAACATTATGATCATGTGACCCAACTGCGAGATTATGTGCGCTCCATTTCGAACTTGTAATTATATTATGTAATAACAATTCGATCTAACATTATAAACACGTGATGCGACAGGTTACAAGGGTGTTCCCGGCGAGACCCTAGCCCTAGCCCTAGCCCTAGCCGGTGTGTCTTGCTTGCGGGCAACACACAATTGCGCTCCGCCAAATTCGAAATTCATGCGACTGCGTTGACCCCCAACGCACTCGAAATTTACACTGCTCAAGTGCTGCAATGCAAACAAATTTATTTTCGCTGGAGCAGCGCAAATTGAGCAACGCACAGCTGGAGCAACGCACTCACAGCTGGAGCAACGCACACTCTGCTGGAGCAACGCAATCTGAGCAGCGCACAGCTCGAGAGCAACGCACTGTTCGAGAGCAACGCACAGCTCAAGAGCAACACACAGCTGGAGCAACGCAATCTGAGAAGCGCAATCTCATCAGCGAACTGCTGGACAGCGCACACTCTGTCGGAGCAGCACAATTGAGAGCAGCACAATTGAGAGGAGCGCAATCGAGAGGAGCGCTCACTCTGCTGGAGCAGCACAATCGACATGAGCGCAATCAAGACGAACGCAATCGACAGGAGCGCAATCGACAGGAGCACAATCAAAAGGAGCGCAATCGACAGGAGCACAATCAAGAGGAGTGCAATCAACAGGAGCGAGCACTCTGCTGCAGCAGCGCAATCGACAAGAGCTCGATCGACAGGAGTTCAATCAAGAGCAGCACAATCGACAGAAGCTCAATCAAGAGAAGAGCAATCGGCAGGAGCTCTATCGACAGGAGCACAATCGAAAGGAGGGCAATCTACAGGAACGCAATCGAGAGCAGAGCAGGAGAGAGGAGGTCTATCGACAGGATCTCAATCGACAGGAGCACAATCAGGAGGAGTGCCATTAAGAGGAGTGAAATCGAGAGGAGCTGAATCGAGAGCCGAGCAAGAGAGAGGAGCTCACTCGACAGGAGCGCAATCGACAGCAGAGCAAGAGAGAGGAACGCAAGAGAGAGGAGCACAATCGACAGGAGCTTTATCGACAGGAGCTTTATCAACAGGAGCTCATTGGAGAGGAGCGCAATTGACAGGAGCGCAATCGAGTGAAGAGCAAGAGACAGGAGCGCAATCGAGAGCAGAGCAGGAGAGAGCAGCGCATTCGACAGGAGCACAATCGACAGGAGCTCATTGCAGAGGAGCGCAATCCACAGGAGCGCAATCGAGAGCAGAGCAAGAGACAAAAGCGCAATTGAGAGCAGAGCAGGAGAGAGGAGCGCAATCGACAGTAGTGCAAGAGAGAGCAGAGCGAGAGAGAGGAGCGCAATTGAGAGGAGCGCAATCGACAGGAGTGCATTCGACAGGAGCTCAATCAAGAGCAGCGCAATCGAGAGGAGCTCAATCGAGAGCAGAGCAATCAAGAGGAGCGCAATCAAGAGGAGCGCTCACTCTGCTGCAGCAGCACAATCTAGAGGAGCTCGATCGAGAGCAGTGCACACTTTGCTGGAGCAGCACAATCAAGAGGAGCACACTGCTGGACAGCGCTCACTCTGCTGGAGGAGCACAAGTCGAAGGAGCACAAGACTAACCGTCATTTCAAACCCGATCTAACATTTGGAGCGCGTTGCCCGACATTTATTTTTGACATCAGATTCAATCTAACATTCTTGAGATGTGTCTAACATTTTGTGACCTCTATTTCGACCTCATATTTTCGCACCTTTTGTTAAATATGTGTTCTTTGTTTCAATCTAGTATTTTGCGCACATTACTGATACTTTGAAAACATTGTTTCGATCTAACCTTTTTGGCATGTGACCTGTGTTATGTAACCCCTAGCCCTAGCCGGTGTGTCTTGCTTGCGGGCAACGCACAATTGCGCTCCGCCAAATTCGAAATTCACATGACTGCGTTGACCCCCAATGCACTCGAAATTTACACTGCTCAAGTGCTGCAATGCAAACAAATTTATTTTCGCTGGAGCAGCGCAAAATGAGCAACGCACAGCTGGAGCAACGCACTCACAGCTGGAGCAACGCACTCACAGCTGGAGCAATGCACTCACAGCTGGAGCAATACACACTCTGCTGGAGCAACACAATCTGAGCAGTGCACAGCTCGAGAGCAATGCACTGTTTGAGAGCAACACACAGCTCAAGAGCAATGCACTGCTTGAGAGCAATGCACTGTTCGAGAGCAATGCACTCACAGCTGGAGCAATGCACACTCTGCTGGAGCAGCGCAATTTGAGCAATGCACAGCTCAAGAGCAATGCAGAGCTCCAGCACAACTCTTGCACTTACACCCCACAACTACTCAGCCTTACAACACCTTTGTCGACATCATCAGCCTCCTTTGCACTCTTAGCCCTTTGTTCTTGCTGCCACTACTTCTCATCATCACCACACAACATAATCACCACTTGTCTTCATCAGCTGTTGTTCTCTCTCATGCTCACACCTCACTACCACTCTGCCTTACAACACCTTTGTCAACATCATTTCTCTCTCACACTCACACCTCACTACTGCTCAGCCTTACAGCACCTTTGTTGACATCATTTCTCTCTCATGCTCACACCTCACTACCAATCAGCCTTGCAACACCTTTGTCAACATCATCAGCCTTTGTCCTTTATGCTCTCACACCTTTGTTGACATCATTAGCCTTTGTTCTTACACTCTCACACCTTTGTTGACATCATCAGCCTTTGTTCTTACACTCTCACACCTTTGTCCTTTATGCTCTCACCCCTTTGTTCTTGCCACTGCTGCTTTTCTCACCATCACCACACATCACCATTGCCACTTGTTTCCTCCAGGCCTTTGCTCATCATCAATCCTTAGTCGATCTTCAACCCTTTGTTCTCATCATTGCTTTGTTGCACATCACCTTTCACATCACTGCCTGTACTCTATTCCCACACTCAGCAATCCAATGTTGTTGTTCCCCATCATCATTGTGTGTGTGTCTGCACATGCATCCTTTGACTTTGTCATTGCCAACACCTGAGCTCCTCAG